CTGCGCGGGGCGCCCTGCCCACGCCCGCGATCCCCAGACCCCCCCCCGCGCGCTGCGAGGGGAAAGTCACGGCGGGAGGCGCGTTTCGCCACGTTCGGCCTCCGGGGGCCCCCACCGCCGAAAAACGGCTCGGGATGAGAAACCGGTCCCGGGGAAGGGGTCCAGACCTCTGGGGGTCGACGTTGCGAAAAAATCACGGCGTCGGAGGTCCAGGTCCGCGTCGTTCACCTCCGTCCTGACGCCGCCAGCTGTTGGTAAAGCCTGTCCTCTGCAGCATTCCCCCCCTTCCTCCTCAACATCGCCCTTGTCCCCTCGGAGCAGTCAATGATGGTTGCTTTATGGGTCGACAGCCAAGTTGCAGTCATCATAATCACCATCATCAATAACCACATCAAGAAAAAACTACAATTGCAAGACCGCTCGTTCTTCGTGTGTTGCGTGTCATTGAACAAGTATACAAAAAAGCCTTCGATACCCGCCCTCTTCGTCTTCGATCGCACCCCCCTTGAAAGGTATCCTGCATGCCTGCCACCTGTAGATGGCGCGGCCCCTGAAACTAGGAAGGCAGGAGGAAACGAGAAGCGAGGGGGCAAGAGGGAGCAAGGAGGACTGGGAAGAATCAGCCCGGCGAAGGACCCGACCATATGCAGGTGTGAGTACCGCACCGCCTTCGGTGGAGCCCCCTTTGGGGCTGGGAAATGTGCGATGGGGGGGGCCAAGCCATGCGGACACTGCTGCTGGGGCCTCTGGTGGAGCTCCCTGTGAGTCCACAAGACGTGCGCGACGTGTGCCGAATTGGGGGAGGTACGCCATGCGGACCCTACCGCTGGTGGAGCTCCCCGTGGGACCACGGACCGTGCGAGGCGCGCGCCGCATCGGGGGCGGGCACACCATGCGGACCCTGCCATTCGGGCCCTCGGTGGAGCTTCCTGTGGGGCCCATGAGCTGCACGAGGGGTGCGCCGGCATGGGCACGCGGAGAGCAGGGGCAAGCATGAGAGGAGGGAGGAGGGGGAGGGCGAGAAGGAGGAGGAGGAGGAGGAGAAGAGAGGAGACGAGGGGACGCTGCGGATTAAAACGAGCACCCGACACCACGGAACGGTTGGAACAAAACAGATTCAACAGGAAAGGAGACGGACAAAAGAAATAAAACTGGGGAGCGGACCCTTACGGGCGGGCCAGGCTGGTGGACCCAAAAAAGTAAGTCGGGGGGCAAACCCTAACGGGCGGGTCGGGCAAGCCGAGCAATCGAACGAGCGGAGCCTAACGGGCAAGTCGGGCGGGTGGACCCTGACGGGCCGGTCGGACAGGTCCCAAGATGGCCTCTGAGGCTACTAAGAGTGCCCGAAGACCCCAAGAGTCCTCCAAGTGGTCCCCGAAAAGCTCCCAACGAACGAACGGACCACCTCTGCGGACAGTCGTCTGGGCCTAATTGACACCAGGTGGGAGAAGCCATGGCTTCTTGAAAGATCCAGATACGCACCGCGACTGCGAGACTTTGGAAAATCAAGGGTGAAGTGAGGGGGAGAGGGAGGAAGTCCTGGCTGTGAGAAAGGAAAACGAGGAGAAGGAAAAGAAGGAGAAGGATAAAGAGGGGAAGGAAGAGGAGGAGGAGGAGGAGAAACCGACACAGAAAAACCTGAATTTGACGTTTCAACCAAACCCTACGGTTTGGAGTCCACACGTCGAGTTCATCGCGCTCCTGGTCAGCGCGCGGCGTCAACGTGGGCCTCGGCAGCGGCCGTTCCCGCACTCCGCCCCGACAGTGCTTCTCCCGCCCACCCACTACACTCAAACAGAACCACCATACGTCGCAAAGCATGGAGAACATCGAAGCAGCAACGCCACCGACATAGACCGAACCAAACATCCCCATTCGAATGCAATGCCCCCAAGCCAACAACATATCCACCTAAGATCACCACGCCAACAACAACCTAAAACACAAAATCAGATGCAACTACGGCAGGTCTGTGTCGTGCCGACTTCGGCGTTGGTTTTTGACTCCGCGTGGATCGTTCAACCTTGAACGATCGGCCGTCTCCGCAACGTCCAATCGTTCAACATCGACCGATTCTGGGCCGCCCGCGGCGTTCAACCTTGAACGCCCGCGCTGGGGTCGCCGCGGGTCGACACGACGCAAACCTACCGTACCTCACCCCCCGAGGAGAACAAAAAAACGCTCCCTCCGTGTCTCGTCTCCCTTCTGCCCGCGCGCTCACACGCGTGAACATCCGGGCGCCCTGCGCCTGCCTCGCCAGGCGGGCCCCGCCTGTCTTGGGGAGGGGATGGTCGGGTAGCGCAGCGGGAGGGGGAGGACGATTTGGAAACACCTGTCACCAGCATCAACATCATCTTCATCGTCATCGTCATCACCATCATCAGAATCGGCATCATCATCGTCAGTATCATCACCATCGTCATCATTAGCCTCATCATCGTCATCATCAGCATAAACATCGCCATCACCATCATCATCGCCATCGTCATCGTCACGAGCATCGTCTTCATCATCAGCATCAGCATCATTACTTTCTGTTCCAGAACCAAAGTGGCCACAGCTTTATGTTGCAGACTGGATCTCTCCGAAATTTGCGCTCCTGCCTGCAACCCACCAAATGCAACTTCAAAGCATCCGCTTCCGAGAGTAGTTCGGCAGGGATGCCGTATTCAAGTTGGACGTACTTGGCGGCGTACCCAACGTGCGGAAAATAGACACTGACCACTCGTATGGGCACCCTGCTGGGCATAGAAACGGCAACAAAAGCAATTCACTAATGGGCTGGAACTGCCGAAGATGATTCTCCCATCGCTTGTGCATGAAAATTGCCACTCCAGGTGTTGGTTTCATATTCCAAGATGTTACTAACAAGTAACCTCCTGACATTTCCCCAGACCCCATTCGTTCTTGCACGCATGGTTTCACAAAGTGTAATGATATCCCAGATTGCGTCGCCGATTTCGGAGAGCAACTCTGTGATTATGTCGTCGTCGGTCATGCCCAAGACGTCCTGGTGAAGTATGATAAAATCCTGGTATTGGGTAGGACGCTCTATACCATCAACATCATCATCATCATCATCATCATCATCATCATCATCATCATCATCATCATCATCATCATCCTCTCCATCATCAACAGCGTCCTCATCACCGGCAGCGTCGAGGCCATCATCATCGCTGTAGTCATTGTCATCATGATCGCCATCATCACCACCGTCATATACATAATCATCTTCATCATCATCAGCCGCATTATCGCCATCCACATCCTCATCATCATCACAACCATCGGCATCATTATCATCGTCGTCGCCATCATCAGCATCATCATCATAATCAGCATCATCACCAGCATGAGCATCATGAGCATCATCATCACAACCACCATCATCATCATATCATCGTCATGATCGTCATCGTCATTGTCGATGTCGTCAACAACAACAGCATCATGCTCATCATCAACAGCAGTCGTAATCAGTATCCTCGCTATCACCCTCCTCATCCACATTATCTGCATCATCACTATCATTATCCGCATCATCACCATCATCACCATCACCATCATCATTATGTCAAGGCGTCCATCCTCCTGCTCCTATTCCTCCTCCTCCTCATCATCACCATTATTATCATCATAAGCATCGTCAGCAGCAGCAGCAGGCTTATCATCTCCATCATTCCTCATTATCATCGCTTCGTCGTCGTATTCGTCTACTTCCGCCTCATCCCCATCGTCGTCATCATCATGACAACCACCACAATCATCACCCTCGTCGCTATCATGGTCATCATCGTCAACATCACCGCATCGTATGCGCAACACACCGTCATCGTCATACGTCTCGTCATCACAATTGTCGCCGTCGTCATCCTAATCATCATCATCATCATCATCATCATCATCATCATCATCATCATCATCATCATCACCGCCACCATCGTCATAATCACCATCATCGCCATGATCATCATCATCAGCAGCATCATCATCATCGTCATCACCATCCGCATCATCATCATCATCATCATCCTCATCATCATCCTGCCATGATGGTCATGATCATCATCAGCATCGTCATCATCATCAGAATCACAATCATCAACATGATCAGCATCAGCAGCATCCCCATCATCAATATCATAACTATCAGCATAACAAGTATCATTGTCATCATCACCATCACCATCATCGTCGTCATCATCGTCACCATCAGTATCATCACCATCATCATCATCGGCAACGTCGGCATCGTCGTCACCATCCTCTTCATCATCATGCCATGCTGATCGTTCATCATCAGTGCATCATCATCATCAGCGTCATCATCATCATCATCATCAGCAGCAGCATCATCTTCAGCATCGGCATTATCACCATCATCATGTTCATCATCATCGTCATCATCATCACCATCATCATTGCCGTCATCATCATCAGCATCCTCATCATCGGCAACGTCGTCATCGTCGTAGTCGTCCCCATCATCATCATGTTATGAGCTCATGATCATCATCATCATCATCATCATCACCACCACCACCACCACCACCACCACCACCACCACCACCACCATCATCATCATCATCATCATCATCATCATCATCATCATCATCATCATCATCATTATTATTATTATTTATTCTTAATGTTGTTTCTGCTACCGGCCACCGCCCGGACGCGCGGAGCGCATGATATGACTTCAACATGGCATCGAACATCGAATGTGCGACACGCCATGCGTACACGTGCCTCGGTACTCTCATTTTTTGGGTGAAATGCGCTGGGTCGAACTCGTCTGGGTCGGCCGCGACGCCGTGGGACCAAGTCTACCACGGCGACGATTACGAGGCAGTCGACTACGGGTTGCCGTAGGACGCCCCGGGGGCTGCGCCATCGAAACGTGGCGACCAACACCGGAGCCAGTCCACGGTGCTGGACGGGCCCCGCCAGTCCTTGCGGACCGATCACACCCCGGTCACGGTCCACAGGCAGGG